GATGGGAGCTGGGGCTGCAGGGAGGATTTGGGGGGGTGCAGGGAGGGGGGAGCTGGGGTGCATTGAGGGGGGAGCTGGGCTGGCAGAGAGAGATGGGGTGCAGGGAGGGGAGGATTTGGGGGCGCATTGAGGGGGGCTGGAGGTGCAGGGAGGGCAGGATTTGGGGAGTGCTGGGAGGGGGAGCTGAGGGTGTAGGAGGGGGAGGATTTGGGGGTGCATCGAGGGGGCTGGGGGTGCAGGAGGGGGAGTATTCAGGGGTGAATTGAGGTGGGGGCTGGGGGGTGCAGGAAGGGGAGGCTTTGGGGGGTGCATTGAGGGGGGCTGGGTATGCAGGAGGGGGAGGATTTGGGGGTGCATCGAGGAGGCTGGGGGTGCAGGAGGGGGAGGATTGAGGGGGCTGAGGGGTGCAGGGTCTCTAGCCGATAGGAGTGAGGAGCGGTGTGTGTGTGTGTGTGGGTGGGGGGGTGTGGAGGTTCTCTAGACCAGGGGCAGCGGGTGCTGGGGTCTGGTGGGTCTGCAGGTCGGGCAGGACACGGGGAATGTGTGGGAGGGGGACACAGGGGCTCCAGGAACGGGGGAATGCTTAGGGGGCTGGCGGGGGCTCAGGTCTCCTGGCCCCTGGGGGGGCAGATGTACAGGAGTGGGGGCTGCGGGAGCTGCTCCCGGCGCAGCTGCGTGCGGGGGGCTTCCCCGTCCCTCCCCCCAGCACAGGGTGTAATTAGGAGGCAGTCGCCTGTCGGGGGGAGCAGCCTCCCCGGCGGCTGTTGTGCCAACACGACGCTAATGTGATTAGGAGCCAGCCCCGGACGTGAGTGTGCGAGCGAGCGAATGAGTGTGCGTGAGTGTGCGACACCAGCGCCGCTCCAGCCGGCTGCACGCGAGACAAAGACTCTGTGTGTGCGTGTGCGTGACACCAGCACTGCTCACGCTGGGTGTGCGAGGGAGAGAGCGAGCCCGGGCGGGCGTGACACTGTGCCGGTGTGCGAGGGGGGGGAGCGTGCGACGCCCCTGGCTGCTCACGCTCTGGGGTTCCCCGGTTGGGTCCCTGCAAGAGACCCCCCCCCTTGGAGCTGACGTGCGGCAGAGATAGCGGGTGACACGCTCTGGGGGGCACACACCCCGCCCTTCTCGGCCCTGTGGGGGCACAGCTGGGCCCCGCAGCCGCATCCCAGGTCTCTGCTGTTAGGGGTTGAGGCCTGTTCACAGAGCTGGGGCCGGGGACTTGCCAGGTTAGGGGAACTGTTCAGTACTGGGACGGGGTGGGGGGCCTAGAGCAGGGTCTGGGGGTTCAGAGACTGTGGTACACTCCCCCCCCCCCGCTCTAACCCCCTAGACCCCACTCCCCTCCCAGTGCCAGGGAGAGAACCCAGGAGTCCTGGCTCCCGCCCCCCAATCCAACCCACTAGACCCCAGTCGCCTCCCAGAGCCAGGGAGAGAACCCAGGAGTCCTGGCTCCCAGCCCCCCAGCTCTACCACTAGGCCCCACTCCCCTCCCAAGCTGGGGAGAGGAACCCAGGAGTCCTGGCTCCCAGCCCCCCCACTCTAACCTCCTAGACCCCACTCCCCTCCCCTCCCACTGCCAGGGAGAGAACCCAGGAGTCCTGGCTCCCAGTCCCCCACCTCTACCACTAGACCCCACCCCCCTCCCAGAGCTGGAGAGAGAACCCAGGAGTCCTGGCTCCCAGCCCCCCCGCTCTAACCTCCTAGACCCACTCCCCTCCCAGAGCCAGGGAGAGAACCCAGGAGTCCTGCCACTCCATCCACGACCAGGCCTGGCTGCCTTTCACCAGCCACCCTGACCTTCCTTATCTACAAACCTCTCAGGGCTTAGCGCTGGGAATCGGTTCTGGCCCTGCGGCTGAAGGGGTTGGTCCCTACCCTG